TTATGAAACCTAGAATGAAGAAAGCAGAGATCTAATAATATTCCTTTTCCTGAGAATATCATCGAATAAATGCAAGCTGAACAAAAAGTTAAAAATCAACGCAAGTACTTTGGAAAACCGTTTGGTAGGAATGCATACATTACCCTATGATACAGCCACAGACTTCTATGTACATACTCAACAGATATGTTTCTAGGTGCTTATATAGTACAAGAGATACGTACTATAATGTTCAAAACGACATTATTCTTAACAAATAAAAGCTGAAAATACTCAAATACTTATCAAAAGTAGAATACATATATGTTGTTAATATTAACAGAATGGAATAGTACACGGTAAGAGTATGCTATAACTATTCTCAACAGTATGGATGAACTTTACATGAATAATGGCCAGTGAGAGAAACAAGACACAAAAGAATACATACTGTGAATCCATTTCTATAAAGTACCAAGAAAAAAAAAGGAGGAGGAATTTTTAGAAGGCAGTGTAGTGGTTACCCTTGGGATACAGTTATTAAGAATTGGTACAAAAGAAGTACTGGACATATTCTGTGTCTTTATCTGGCGCTGGAGTGGTCAGTTCTCGCAAGAGATGCGCTTTTTTCTGTATGCACATTACAGTTTAATAAAATGTTCAAGAAGCGATATTAAAAATCTAGAAAAATATATAGTAGAACCTGAGTTCTTTATAAAAAAATAATATTAAGGAAAGTTTAAATAATTGAAGCAGGGTTCTTTGCCTGGAGCCTTGCTCACATGGCTCATGCTAATTTATTCCACAAATCTGGGAAAACTTATGCTAAACCTCTTGGCATCTTATAGAGAATAAAGCAGTTATTATATCATTCTGAAATGTTAGTTTTTGTTTGCAAATATTATATAAACACAACTTATAGAGTGGTTCAGAGTAATCAATGAAAGGAAGTATTATTGCAGCTTCTTCTGTGGAGAGGCTGAGAGAACCTCCAATGCTGTGATGGCATTGATGGCTGCTTTAATTAAACAATTTTCATAGAAGGCACCATATATATGTGAACTCAGTTTCTTTGGAAGCAAGACTCATGGAGAACTAGAAGCACACAGCAGGTCTATATGCATTACTAGACACCAGTAAAAAAATCCCGAACAACAATACAACAAAAAATGGGACCAAGTAATTATCTGCCAATGTATAAAGAATTGGGGGCAAAAGAGGCCACTCTTAGAAAATTGAAAATTTTAACAATGAGACCTACCTTCTTGCTCTTTTTCTATCAAATTGATCTCAACTGCTAAGCTCTTATTCCCTTCATTACTTTTTTCCTAAAAATATCTTATAAATGGGAGGTACAGAAGGAGCAAGTGACCATGTATCTCAGGGCCGATATGAGCTAACCGGCAAAATGGAAGTGGAAAGTGTAACTCTATTACTCTTACACTCGAATAACTTTGTCCTGTCCTTAGCTCTTTCTCTCTCAGCTATTTGTTTCTAGTAGCTGAACCTCAAGCCCACAACCATATGATCAAGTAGCTGATGTTCCCATATTTAAAGCCAAAATCACAGTGGTTGACAAGAAAAAAAAATAATGCCCCAGAGAGATTTAATTTACATGTCATATACTCTCCAAAGGATAAGTCAATAAGGAGCAGAATGAAAGCCAAGTTTACCATTTATCAGGCCACCCTGGTGCTCTAGGAAGCTAAACAAATTCAAAATTTGGTCTATAATTATAATTACAATGTTAGCGTAATTAAGTTTTTAGGGAGTTTTTAGTTTGTATTGTCTGGAGTATTACAGCTATGGCACATTTGACTCTTTCTGAAAATTTTAATTTCAGCTGGCCATCTGAAGGTATAATTAACATGAAACTGATTATTTTCAGGATACAGAATTTAAGAAGTCAGGGAATTAAAAGATTCAGGATGAAAATCAGTAATCCCTTCCCCTCCCTTGCTTTTCATTAATTTTTGTTCTTTAGAGGCAACCGCCTTCAATTCTTAGAGTTGTTGCTTCTATTTTTAAGAATCCTAATATTTATGGATTGTTCTCATTCTTATATTTCTTGATTTTTTCAATTTTAGGCACTATCAATGAACTTCTTACCATAAAAAATAATGACATCTCACTTACATACTCTCTTCCCTTCCTCTCATCCTACCAACAATTTTTAGTTAAGATACTATTTAGTGTTCGCTTTATTATGACTCTGTAACTATTTTTCCTACATCAGCAATGTGATGTACCATGGCTTTTTTCTTTCTTATATAATTTTTTTGTTTTTGTTTTTTTTTTTGTAGTTATCGTTGCCCTATTTTAATTTCTTGATTTGCCTTTATATACCTATCATGAATACATTTCTGAACCCCCCAAAAGAACTCTAAGATTCCACTGGTTAAATACATCATGAAATCTGTCAGTTCCATTTTATATTTCCTTTAAGGATCTTTCTCCTGGAGCTCCCTAGCTGCCTGCTCACTCTGTTCTCTAGGCCTATTATAGCTTTTGTTCTGAGATTTCTCTTCCTTATCATCCTAGAAATTCCCTCTGCTCTTTCCTGTGTGGAATCTCTTGTGTTCTGGATCTCATGTCTCTCTTTCTTGGTTTATCTCCTTGTTTTAGAAGAATAATTTTATCCAAATAGCTTCTTCTTCTTTTTCTTCTTTTTTTTTTTTTCAAATTAGCTTTATCAATGTATAATTAACTCACAAAATTGTAAGATATTGGAAGTATACATAGTGGTGATTATATATTTTTATATTTATATTTAATATAAATATATATTAAAAGGATTTCCCCTATCCAGATAATTAATACATACATCTCTTCACATATTTATCTTTTCTTGTGTGTGAGAACATTTAAGTTCTACACTCTTAGCAAATTTCAATTACATAATACAGTGTTATCAATTATAGTCACCATGTTTTACATTAGATTCTAAGACCTTGTTCATTTTATAGCTGAAAGTTTGTACCCTTTTATCTCATTTCCTCCACTCTCCATGCCCTAGCAAACACTTTTTACTCGCTGTTTCTAAGAGTTTAACAACAAAAAAAATTAGACTCTACGTATAAGTGATACTATGCAGCATTTGCCTTTCTTTGTCTGGCTATTTCACTTAGCATGATGCCCTCAGGGTCTATCCATGTTGTTGCAACATGGCAGGATTTCCTTCTTTCTTATGGTTAAATAATATGTCACTGTGTGCGTATATATACACAAACACATATATAAATCCCACTATAGAAACAGTATGGAGGTTACTCAAAAAATTAAAAATAGAACTACCATATGATCCAGGAATTCCATTTCTGGGAATAGATCCAAAAGAAATGAAAACACAATATCGAAGAGATATCTACACTCCCATGTTCATTGCAGTGTTATTCGCAATAGCCAAGACATGGAAACAACCTAAGTATCCATCAATGGATGAATGGAAAAAAAGATGAGATACATATATACCAAGTAGTTTCCTGAGTAAGAGTAAGTGGAAGGTAAAGTTTTGAGATCTTGCATGTCTAGGAATGCCATTATGTTATTCTCACACTCAATGAATAGTTTGGCTGGGTCTAGAATTATAAGTTAGAAATAATTTTTCTCCATAATTTAAAAAGTATTGTTCTGCTATCTTTTAAGTTTAGTGTTACTAATGAGAAATCCAACATAATCCTGTTTCTTGACCTTTCGATACTTCTTGCCTGGAAAGCATTTAGAATCCCATTTTTTGCAAGTGTTCTGATATTTCACTATGGTATACTCAGTGTGGCGTTTTTCTTTTCTTCAGAGGGTTGGGCATTTGGTGGGCCCTCTTGCTGTGGCTACTCATTTCCAGAGAATAATAATGTAATCTTTCTTTGATAATCCTCCCTTAGTTTCCCTGTACTTTTTTTGAAATACTGTTAGTTGAATATTTGAGCTCCTGGAAGGGTCATCCAATTTTCATATCTTTTTTTGTCTTATTTTCCATCTCTGTGTTTGTAGTCTGCTTTCTAGGAGATTTTCACAACTCTATCTCCCTTTTGTTTTCTTTTCTACTGTCATATTTTTCACCTTTAGAATTTTTTTTCTAAATCTGTTCTTATTTATGACAGAAACACTAAAAAAGATGTATAAGCTCTGCATAAATGGTTTAAATTTATTGACTGGTGACCTTACTTTAAAGTAACTGGGTGAAAACTCAGTTATTTCACTAGTCGAAGCTAAAGTTTCTCTCTTTGTCTCTCTGTGTCTCTGTCTGTCTGTCTGTCTGTCTGTCTATATACTTATATATATCTAGATATAGGTGTATATATATATACACATATATATGTATATACATATATATATATATACATACATATATTTTTTTTTCTTTTGGGCCAACTAGTTTCCTTATAGCAACACCTTCTAATCTTTTCAGGAAAATAAGGTTACCTGTCAGCATTCATTTCACAAACTTTCACTTAATTCTCCTGTTTCTGTTTCTAGTAAAGCATCTTGGCTCCATTCTGAACTGGCCCAGTCTCTCCAGAGTAAACTTCTAACATGGAACTTTTGAAGTACCTTTAAGTGCTAATCCCAAGGCTTCAGTAATATATATATGAGGATGCAACTGCCGCTATTTGAAAGGAGTAATGGATTCAGATTCGGACACAAGGGTTCTGAGTCCTAGCTCTTCTTAGGCTTGTGCCGGAGATCAGTTGACATAATGTATTAGAAACACTCTGCAAACTAAAAAGCACTTCACAAGTCTTAGCCATTATTAATAAAAGTTACGACATTTGGACAAGCATTTAAAACTTTAGTGAGAGCTGCCTTTTTTTTCCAGACTGCTCCACTTGAAATGAAAAGTTAATTTAAATGAATCATGCAAAGATATTGACACAGTTAAATTTGCTGCAAGCTGCTGGGGTTTTAAACTTTTCCCTCAACCCCTGAAATTCTGGTTAATTTAGTTGTATCAACCAAATGAGAAAGCAATTTGGAAATTTCAGTGCCCCTTTAGAAAGACAGTGAGTGGCTCTGGCTTAAAACAAATGATTGCTCTTGGTCTTGATGTTTTGTGTGTTCAGCAAATCAAGGCAGATTTATTGGGTAGAGAAATGAATGGATCAGTAAATGAGGCCTGCTTTGCAATCTAGTGCATCCTTAAAAATAAATTTCTACAATATATAATTAAGGCTTAACACCCTAAATTCTGGCTAGGGGTCAGAATAATGAATATATTTAATACTTATGTAATTATTCCTATGTCTAATAGATGAATTAATTGCATTTGGATAGGGACACACAATTGCTTTTTAAATTCGTAGATTCTATTTTGATTAGTAGAATGAAACTACAATTAGATTTTAAAGGTATGCCTGAGTGTTTCAAGCCTTTCATTTTACACTCTTTTTGTTGTTGTTGTTCAGAACAACATATAAGCTAGAGTTTTAAGTAAAAGAAAAATTAATGATTTTACTCCATTGTTACCTACATTTGTATAAGTTCAATTATTGATCACAGTGTTATATAACTGAGTTCCATAAAATAATATTTTAGATCTCCAGGCAAAGCTGTTCAATCAGTCTCTTCTCCACCTTTTATGGGTTACCTAAGAGGAAGGCCTTGCCTTGCTTTGGCTGTGAACATATAAATGTCTCTGGTCCAATGATTTGCTGCAGGAGTAATATTCTATTTTCAAGTTCAATTGAAAATTGTTTTTGCACAATTTAGTAGTTGATAATAAGTTAGATCAAGAAAGTTCCACCTAATACAGAGATATATTATTCTCTATATCTATCTTGTGCAATTTAATAGCTAACAGCCAACTATGGCTATTGAATTTTTGAAATGGTGGCTAGTGCCACTGAGGAATTGAATCTCTAAATTTAAATAGTCACATGTAGCTAATGGCAACTGTATTGGGTGGAACAGCTCTATTGCATCACAAGGGATACATGCATAAGAAATCCCAAGGGCTCACTTTCTAACGGAACAGCTGATATTCTAAAATGTTTTTTGATACAGAGTCCCCTTTCAATATTCAGATGTATCAAGGATCTGCACACAGAAGTGATTGTATTTTGAGTATGTGTTCATTGAGAAATGTAAAAAACTAATAACTTAGTAAGAGTTTTAAATAAATTTGAACTTTATTCATAATTATAGTATCTCCATTCTCCTGAGAGCAAGTAAGATACATCATTGGTTCTATATGTAGACAGGGCTTGGTGCCCGGATGGATGCAAGGAACCCAGGGAATAACTTCTGCATTCACAGGTTGGAAAACATTGTTCTAGAATTAAAAGATAAGAAATAAATTAAAGAATAATTAAGAGGTAAAAATAGTAAGGAGACAAGTTCTTTAGAAGTACGGAAACACCTCATAACCAGTTAGGAAGCACCAAAGGCTGAAAGACTATCAGTCTGAGCTTCAAGGTATCTTGTGTTCACACTTGAGTGTGTGATACCTCTTTTCATTAAGGCGATTGTCATTTGGTTTCACATCTTAAACTCCTACTACTTAGGGATCTTTTCCTTCAAGAAAACAAAGTTAACTTTGTTTTTAGGACTATTTTAAAACATGGAAATTAAAAAAAAAAAAAAGACCCTCAGTGGTTTGTATTAGAAGTTATGCCCAATGCTCCATCTCTTTGTCAATAGTTGCAGAATAGCTTGATTTAAAGATTAATATCCTCATTTAGTCATCAGATACAAAATAGATTGCTTTCATAGTATAACTAAACCACCCTCACTCACTTCTTTCCCTTGCTCCATTTCTGTTGGAGCTACTTCATTTCACAGCAATTGGTAAGGGAAAAGGATAGGGTTGTGTAGTGGTTCCCCCAACCCAACCCACCCACTTAAACCTACAATCTAAATTAAAACAATGTGCTTATTACTACAACATGAAGGCAAGTCTCCTAGTACCTCAGACCGCCACTTCAAACCCCTTCAGTTAGGAATTCTGAATCTCCCACTGGCTGACAGAAAAAGAAAACACTAGATTGTATAATCAGTGTGTCTATAATTAAATACCAACTCCACTTTATGGATCTACAGAAAAATATACTTCATGATTCTTAAACAACCTGATTCTAGGATGGTGCTACTCCCAAAAGATATAGACAGCAAAAGGAGAAGAATTCCTTTGTGCTGAAGCAAATCCTGAGTTATTGACAAGGAAATGAAATGTTAAACACCTGTATATTATGAGTTAGCTTTCAAATAATATGCTCATGATTTCATATTCTCAAACATTGAGGTATTCCATAATCTCACCAGCTCTTAAGATAACTATTTTAAGTTATTGCTCTAGATGACATTAAAAATAATTCCACAGGTATACATCCTTGACATTCTAAACAAATATGCTGTTCTTCAGAACAGTGGCATCCATCTGGCTGGAGAAGGTAATTGTAATGCAGAGAACAATGCCATGTTCTGCTCCATCACTTGATGATCAATTATGTTTCACCGAGTAATTCTTAAGACGTATTTGGTTATTGCAGGCGCAACATGGCTGCTAACCTCTGCATGACTTTGCTGGCATGACTAATTAACCTGAACAATACCTGGACTATTTACTGAAAGTATGTATTATTTTTCTGTTTGGGAGGGGGGAACATTTGTCCAAATCCAAGACTGTGTGTTAAGTTCCAGCTTCAGTTTAAAAAACAGAACAAAAGAGTAGCTCTACTAAGCAATGAAGCATAGAGATTAGAAAATGACCCAGCAAGTGCTTATGGAGACAGATGTTGCCATCTACCTATTACACTGACATTTACCTGAATGAGGTTGGCAGCTGGGTTCCTTCTTTTCTCAAAGTGTTTCTGGCGGTGCTGTTCTTGTACTTTTAATGCAAAACCTGAGCCAAGAATGCCCTGGAAAAAAATACAAATCGGTACTTCAACTTTTTTTTCAAAAGCACTGTTAAATACTATAAATATTAAAAAGTAACTCTCTAAAATGAGTTTGAGAGAAGACAGACAGTATGCAACCTGTCCATAAACATACTACTTACTCAAACAAACACTATTTACCTCTATTATAATACCATTGGCCAATGGCAAGTTGTTGGGCAAGACTGCCAAGAAATATAACAACTTCTGTTCTTTAGTAAATCAATGAGGCATTGCCATTTACTGTCTCTTATAGTATAGTAGAGGCACCATAATTACAGATAAAAATCACTATTAAAAACTATTTTTTGTGTGGTCTTCTCTGTAACATTAGGATAAATGGTGCTATCCAGTGATGGAATATGGAGGACATGAATTGTGGTTTTGAACAGAGGTGGATTTTAAATCTGGGACGGTTAAAGTTTTGCTGCTGTGGACATGGGAGTTTTTCTAGCACTTTGATGAAACTACTGAATTTTATATTTTCCATTTGTGAAACAGTGGGCGGGGGAGTGTTTAAAATTTGTCCCAGTTTAATCTTTGGGATGCTATAATTCTATACCTATCAAAGTCAAGTGAAAGAGGTGAGGGGAAGGACAGTTATCCAGATAAGACAGTTTTGAAGACATAGGAGGTTTTCCATTTTCCTTGTTTGTATAACAAAGACAAGAGCATGGGTAATTGCAAAGCACATTCCTATTTCCCTGAGTTTTAATCTCATACTTTTAGCATTCCTTGCCTTTTTGGTTTTGGCTCACCTATTCAGATTTTGGGGTTTGTAAGATTAGTATGTTCCTCCTATGTTTATGTAAATTTTTTTGGCTGGTTTGCTTCCTTCTGCTTATCATCTTAATTTGCCAAAATTCTGGCTTTTTAAAATGCTCCTGTCTTCAGTTTGCTTTGGTCTAACATTGTGGAATCAAGATGTTTTGTCTCAGCCTTGGGTTGGCTTTTGGAGCTTGCTAAATTCAATCTCCGAGCTTTGTCTATAATTCTCCACTTTATTGGCATGAGACGTAGAGATCCACTGCTTTCAAGTCTGTAGATTTTGCTTGCTAGCTATAAATTATTAGCTTTTAATTAAACTTTAAAGAGTCTAACCCTTAGGTGAGATATGGGTGTCCTAAAAGCACTAAGTCGGTATTAATCACAAATAAGGAATGGTTGTTTTTCTTTTCTTTACTTCTTTATAGTAACTCAAAGATAGTATAGGCTGCCTGGGGAGGTGATGGGTTTCTCATCTTTAGGAGGTGTTAAGTCTCAGCTGGATGATAGCTTGGCTCAGATATTTTTGGGTTCTAGATAAACTTTAAGCTTTCTCTTATCTTGAGAATCCACAATTCTGAGTACATCTGTGACAATAACTAGATAATAAGTAATGTGATTACAGTAGATCCTCCCTTTGTCACAGGGATATGTTCCAAAACCCTCAGTAGATACTCAAAACCACAGTTACTACCTAAACCTATATATGCTATGTTTTTCCCTATACATATGTACCTATAATAAATTTTAATTTACAAATTAGGCACGGTGAGAGATTAACAAGAACAACAATAAAATAAAACAATTATAACAATATACTGTCATATAAGTTATGTGAATATAGTCTCTCTCTCTCTGATAACCAATCTCATAATGGAGATGGCTATTAAGTAACTATTGAGTGGGTAGCATATACAGCATGGATATACAGTCCTGTACAGGCTGGAGTCCAAGGGTGGGAAATTTCATCACGCTACTCAGAATGGCATGCAATTTAAAACTTATGAATTGCTTATTTCTGGAATTTTCCATTTAATATTTTCCAATCAAGGTTGACTGTGGGTAACTGAAACCACAGAAAGTGAAACTGCAGATAATGGGGTGGGGGGAGGACTGACTACTGTATGCAAAATACAGTTATACGATAATACTATTTGCTATTAATGAGCAGTTATCAACTTCATTATTAATAAGAATAAATGACTACCATAAAATTAGAAATTATATCATAGGTTCTGTTTTCCATTTCTTTTTCAGTGATTGTCTCATAGAGGTTGTGATTGCACAAACTAAACTTTATAAAAACCTGGACTGTATGATCTTGTTTTTAGATTTAAACATTTCTCTCCATTTGGAGGTTATAAAAGTGGCCTCCATTTCTAAATCCAAATCAACTATAGTCATTCTTAACTCTTAATTTTTTTTTCCTGCTACTTAAGATCATTTAGGAAAGATTTACTTATTTTCCTTTTAATGTCATTTTTCATGAAGTATAAACGTGTAAGAGAATATGAAACATTAGAATTTATAGCATATATTTATACCACATATTATGTGTAATCCACTCGGAGCTTGATTCAGATTTTGTACATATTGAATTAACAGCAATAGCTACCATTTTGGAGCATTTAGTATGTGGATATGAGGCTCAGAGTTAAATCCCTTTTGGAAATTGAAGACAGGCCTCACATAGCACAAACTTTGCATCTTCCAAATAAATTCAAATGTGCTGAAAATCACATTGGTATTGCTTAGAAACATATATTAGTTGATGGCAAATATGCCAGACTGTACATTACAACAATTAAACCGGGTCTACTCATCGTCTCTTTATAGCTCTATTCCAATTTTCTACCACCTTTCTTACTACACAGCTCAGTGAACCTAAATGGAAGTCTGTTAAAATCTATTATGAAATATATAATAGATTTTAGTTAAAAATATAACATATTATTATAAAATATAGATAATATATTAATATATATAAAATCACTGATTAGTGAGTGAATATGTACAATTTATGTGCCATCCCTTCAAATATTGACACCTATATATACAAATTCTTAGAAATTGAGTTTTGTTGTAATCTATTTTCTAAGATCGCATTACTTAAATTTTTAGGTTTTAAATTTTAGTACTATGCCAAGAAGGGCTACATAAACACCAAATGGGAAGAAAATTTATTTTGGTAAGCATTTAAAATATTTATCCCTGTTATCTTCCAGGTTAAAGGAGCCTAATTCATACCCCCACACATGGCAAACAGGATAGACCAAATGATACTCTTAGGAGTATCTAGCAGGAGGGAGGGAGCATCCTGAAGAAGAGAAAGACCTGCCTCTCAGGGCGAAGAGCTGGCGCTGCCTCTGCAAGCTCATTAGGCCTCAGGGAAAGTAACCCCTTAGTGGAGCTTGGAAAGGGTGGCCTTTGTGACTCTGTGATCTACAAAAGAGTCCTTTTACTTTGAGAGAAAAGATGAGAAAATGCTCTTCTCTTTGTTAGTTCTCAGGTTTCCTGGGTGGGAGAAAACCTAAACGGGTGGCCCATGATCGACATATAACTTTCTTAGCAAAATGCCAATGTGCTTTCCTAAATCTCAATCAGACAACATGTCGGCCTGCAGGTGCACAAGACATAATGGCATTTCCAGCCATTCTTTTTTTAAAGGTATATATGAACCATTTAGTCTTTCACTCACTATATAAGAGCTCAACACCTTTTACAGAGGTTGCAGTAAAAAGATCCATGGTAAAGTTTACTTTTCTTGGCATTGTTAGGGAATGTTCTGTGCAAGCAAGTTTTTTGATTTCCAGCATATATTTATTTAATTTACATAAATAAAATTTTATAATCACTTTATTGAGAAACCTTTCCAAGAATGATTACTTAGTCTCTGATCTTGAACCTAAAAGAGTGACACAGTTTAACCTCCCTGTAGTAGGCCAAAGTTTATTGACAGGGGCACGTATTTCTCTGTGCTGGATGTAGCCAGCTCCCAGAGGTGCGCTGACCCTAACACTCACTGGCCCTAGGTCTTTATGCCTTTGAACATTTATATATAGCTTGCTTACAGATTTTCTTTTCCTTCCCTTGTTGTTGTCTTTCACCATCTCTTCTTGTTGTAGTGTTTGTTCTATCAGTCTATCTTTATATTTGCTGTTTATAATCTTCAAAGAATTGTGAAGCTATATAGCCATGTTCATCAAAATTTTCTCTAAATTAAGAAAAGGTTCTGCATAGGTCTCAAGAGGCTCTCCCACGAGGATAGCACCTATAATGTGGATTTTAACAGCCCAGAGGTTGACAACTTCCCTGTTTGTGGTGTTTCACTGGATCACAGAAGTTGTTACATATGTGGCCTCAGGATGAGTATAAACACAAAAGCAGTGGTATTTCATGCCATTATTTTGGGGAAAAAAGCCCCAAATTGCATTTTATTTTTTCTTAAGGTATTTTCCTATAAGAAATCTGATTATTAAGTGAAGCTCTGCTCGTTCTAAATTGTTGAGACTGCTGGATAAGTTGACTCTGAATAAGTGAGATGCTTTTTTGACTCTCTTTGATTTTTGTCACTTTACAACAGTAAATTCATATATTGAGATTCATACAGAAAACAATGACTAGCACTGGACTTGCATTATCATATAGGTCTTCACAAAATTTCTCTGGGTGTAATAATTCTTCCTTCATTATACTGATGAAGAAACATACCCAAGGTTATTGTTATGGACTGAATTGTGTCCCTCTAAAATTCATATGTTGGAGTCTTAATCTCTAGTTCCTCAGAAGGTGACCCTATTTAAAGATAAGATCTTTAGAGAGGTAATCAATTTACAATGAGATCATTAAGGTAGGACCTAATTCAATATGACTGGGGTTCTTAAAGGAAGAAATTTGGACACAAACACGTACAGAGGAAAGACGATGTGAAGACTCAGGGAAAAGACTACCATCTACAAACCAAGGAAAGAGGCCTGGAACACATCCTTCTCTCATCTCCCTCATAAACAACCAACCCTGACAGCTCCTTGATTTTAGACTTCTAGCCTCCAGAATTGTGAGACGATACATTTCTGTTGGTTAGGCCACACAGTCTGTGATACCTTGTTACAGCAGCCCTAGCAAACTAAAACAGCCACAGAAGTAGCACATGACAAAAACAGAATTCACAATGAGGTCTAATGCTCAAGCTTTTGCATGGTGTTTTCAGTCTCTTCTCTGTGATTTTGTGTGGTCTGGGGTAGAATCAGCTGGTCAAACTGGAGTTGGACAGTGGCCATGGGAAGGACAAGCATGTCCTCTGCACTCATTCACAGGCTGAGAAGGAACCCTGTTAGCTAAGCCTGTGGTGCTGAAAATCCCCACCCCCTCTGCTTCCTTGGAGGCGTGCTCTGGGGTCTCTGCTTGGCAGAGACTGTGACTATGAGTCAGCTTGTGTCTGGAGCAAGACTAAGGCTATTGTTCCTTAAGCATGACTGCTGCCACTTGTGGATGGAGGCAAACTGTAATATTTTGATCAATTTCCTTTAAAGAAACAAGTAGAAAATGGAGGAGCTTCATCCATTAAGGGGAAAATAATCAGAAGCTTGGAAGAAGATAAATGTGCTCTTCATTCTGATAAGATGCAGAAAGTGCTCATTAAGAAAAATCAATGATGATGACACAAAGAATAAATCATCTGACACATTGAAAACCCTTTAAGGTCATATAATTTTCACTCAAATGGATAAATACTACACTTGTGCACATCTATCTCTTTAGTAGCACATATTATAAACCAAATTGGAATGATCAGCTTAAAAAGAAATCTTTGTCTTTACAAATATTCTAAATGTATTAGTAGGATGTTGACAGAAAGTCGATGCCATCGGAATTATTATTTGGTCATAAAGACCTAGCTGGTATAAAACTCTCAGGTTAAGTGTCTCCAAGGGAAAACTATTTTAAATAAATTATCCACATAGATATATGTAGAAAGGTCGATATTATATCAGAAAAATTATATTTGTAAACAATATAGATATGTTCCTGGGCATGTGAATTTGTGAAAGCTCACACTAACAAACCTTTAAGATCTAATTTAAATGCTTTATTTTTGCAGAGATACTCACGGCAGGAAGTGCAAAGAAAGAAATGCCAAGGAGCGCAAAGCCTGCAGAAAGCAATCTTCCCAGCCAAGTTAGGGGAGTTTTGTCTCCATAGCCAATCGTTGTCAATGTAATCTAAAAACAAAATAAATAGAATGTGCAGCTTAAGTACGTGAGAGGAAAGTTAGGACCTATGAACAGGAGGCAAAGCAACGTTTCCACTAAATCATTATTCAACACGTCTTGTGGGTGCATTTTATTACTGTGCTTTAATTTTCCATGACGCATAACAGAACCTCTCTTTGTTTAAGATAGGGAATAACCTACATACTTGTTCCTCTCTTATAACACAATTTTATTTTCCATCTTTTTAATGTGTGTTCCAAGAAAGGTTATTTAAGTTAAGTGGATAACCATCAGTGATATAGAAGCGATAGCACCATAGATTTAGGACTGGATCAGTACACAAAACAATAACTTATGTTAATTATGGCTGTCCATTTATTACCTTGGCAGGCATTTCCTGAAGGTCTGGTGTGTGCAAGGTACGTGTTATGATTTATAGTGGAACAAAAACAAGAGGTACATAGTTCTTGTCCTAAGATATTTACAGCATAAGAGGGCGACATGTCACACACAAATCATTAAAACACAAAATAGGGCAAGACAGGTATTATGATGGATGCACAATTAATCTACCACGGGAATTCAGAGGATAGATTATTACCAGCTTGGGGAGGATGTGATCATACCTAGCCTTTGAAAAAGGAGCAATATTTTGAGAGGCAGAAATGATACAGAGGGTGATCTGGAGCCGGGGAAGGGGGTTGCAGGGGAGGAATCAGGTGACCAGCTTTATAGCAGTGAGAACAGAAAGGGTAGGTTCTGTTCAGCTGGGCTGGAGCATGGTGAGTCTGAAGAGGATTAGTGAAAGAGGTTAACTAGTTATGCTAAAGCTGGATCAGGGAGTGTCTTTGAAAAACGCTAATTAGTTCATGTCTTTCCCCTTATCAAACTGTTCCAGGGTCTTCCCATGCCACTTAGAACAGTCCCAGCTCCTCTCCAGGGCCGACGAGGTTCTGCAAGATCTGGCAGAATGATGCAGCAATTGAACTGGAACAGTGGCGATGGGACTACACGGGAGTGGAGAGTAAAGAGATGTGTTTAGGAAGTTCAATAGAAATATATTTACTGATTGTCTGGGATCAAGGGGAAGACTAGGTCAACAAGGACTTGACAATTTCAAGGGGAAGATAGTTCCACCATAAATAAAAATATGAGGAAGAGAAGATTTTGGAGCAAAGGTGAGTTTGGTTTTGCAAAGAAGGGTTCTTAAAAAAGTCAGTATGATTCAGATCTAGAAAAGTCGAGCAGGAAATTGAGATCATGAACCCGAGTCTTGAGAGAGAGAGAGAGAGAGAGAGATTGGGTTTCCCATGAGATTTGGGTTTTGGAATCAGGCACAGGGTAGTTGTTTAAGCTTTGTGAATAAATAAGATTGCAGAGCATTCAAAGAAGGGGTCCAAAGAGACCTCAGGAAACACAGACATTTAAGGGATGGAAGAGAAAGGAAAGTCAGAGAAGAATATATTTTTTTCAAAAAGCGGGAGAACTAGGAATGGGTTATATAAACAGAAACTCAACGGAGAAGAGGAGTTTCACAAAGGACCAGGTGATTCCCGATGTCACAGGCTCATAGATAACAAAGAGAATGAGGACTGAGAAAAGATATTGGACACGGAGATAGGTAGTTACTGATGATTTCTAAGAAAGTGGTTGCTTTGTTCATGTCACCTTACCTGGGCTTTGAAGGAGTCGTAAGTTTATGAGAAAAAGAAATGATAGAGGGATATAAACTCCACAATGCCAGACCTTTCAGAAGTACTCCACTCACCTGACCACTCCTTTCTAGAATCTCTCTTCTCTTATCACTTCTGTGGTTTTCCCTTTATATCTCCTATAGCTTCTCTTACGTGGCTCCTCCTCCTCTAGTCAACCTTTAAATATCACTTGAGGTTTGGTTCTGCATCTTTTTCTGTTTTTTTTTTTTCCTTTTTTTTAAATTATATTATCCTCTAACTTTCCTTTCTCTTTTAGCTCCTCTTTTATTTTTTCTCTCCTCCCAGATGATCTTAAATGTTCTCGTGGATTTAAATACCATTTTTATGCTGAACAAACCAAATTTATACTTCCAGGCCAGGCCATTCTTTTGAGCTCCAGATTCTTACATCTGTGGTTGATATTTTTATTTGCATGTTGCGCAGTCATTTAAACTTAACATGTTTAAAACAGAACTCTTGTTTCTTCTCAACCTGTTACTCCCCCAAATGTATTCCCCCGCACTGTAATCCAGAGCGCTGTCATTTACTCCGTTCTCACATCAGAAGCTGTAGAGTCACCCTGATTGCTCCGTTCTCTCACTCCCTTCACTGAATCTATCAGCAATTCCCATTGATTTTATCTCCCAAAGATACTGCACATTTATCCCCTTTGCTCTGTCTTCACTGCCACCATGGTAGACAAGGCTGCTACAGCAGCCCCTAAATTGCTCTCTGATTTTGCTCTTGCCTCCCTTCAGTTCCTTCTCCACACTCCTGCAAGCGGTATCATTTCCTTATTGCCCTCTAAAAATACTTCAATGGCTACTCATTGAATTCAGAATAAATTCCAAGCTCCTAACCATGGCTTACGTGACACGGACTCCACCTGCTTCCTAAGATCATCCTGCTTTCATCCTCGCTCACTGTGTTTTAACCACAGTATCCTTTCAGCTCTTCAAACACACCAGGTTACTTCTGCCTCATCCTGTTCCCTCAGCCAGAAGTGCTCTTCCTACTCTTCCCAAGGCTCCTTCTCATCCTTCAGGTCGTCTTCAAAATATCTCGCCAACAGAGAGGACTTCCTTACCCACTTTGTCTATAATAGGGCCTCTGGTCATCTCTATTTCAGATTCTTGTTTCTTAATAGCACTTGTCCTAAGTGGCAGTTTGCTGTATTTTTTTATTTTTATTTTTTATTTTTTAGTGGAAGGGTCCTTATTTCCTTTACTAGAAAGAGGAACCATGTCTTTATTCTTTGTTATCTCCCTGACATCTAGCATGATGCTTGCCACGAAGTAGAAGGAACTCAATGAATATTTAGTAAATCAATGAAGAATTCTTTCAAGAATATTGGTGATAAATGGAGTGAGAAACAGGGCAAAAACTCCTTGAAATCTCTGACTCTGCGGGGATGCTTTCTAAAACGTATTTGTGCATGTTTGCAGAGAGGATGAGCCTGGGGAGGGAAGAGCTGGTGGCTTTATGATAAGTTAAGGCAGAGAAAATAGGATGAAGAGTACTGTTGGAGGGGTTAGCCGTGGCAGGGTGAAAGGACACCTCTTTCATGTGGGGGGAAGTTGTGGACACAGTGTGAATGGAGGGCAGGACTGAGAATGCTGGAGCCGTTTCCCTTCAATTCCAGTGAAGAAGAGGGTGAGATCATCTGCGGGGAGAGAAAAGTTTGGAACAGAGGAAAAGACTTGGGGCTGTGAGGGTGTGAGAAAGTGTTAAGTACAAATCAGCAAGAGGCCTACTGGGCAGAGGAAGCTCATCCAAGGTTGGAGAGAGGGAATTCGTAGCAGAACCTAGTAGCCAAGTTAATTAAATACCACGGGCAGTATCAGTATGGGACTCTCAAAGGAATTCCTTGAGATTGCAATGAAAATATTCCAGCTCAATTTTATTACAGGTTCCTAATCTTAAATATGTGAAAATGATTTTAATCTGCTATACTTTTTCTGCAAAATAGTTCAATCCTTTTACAGCAGTTTATTAATAATCATGAACTAAAAAAGAAATTTCATGGTTTGGTCACGGTGATAATGTTACATTTCAGGGTTTGCTTTACGTTCTAATAATACATTTGAGTTATTCTCCTTGGCCCAGTGCTCAGAGAGTGGATTTTAAACCACTGCCTCTAATTCTGAAGAATGTGACATGGCGAAGTGACAATGTGCTCAGTGTTTTATTCTGAGTAGAGAAGAACGCCTGCTCCCTCTCATTCCAAGAGAGTTGCCCTTACAAGAGTTGTGAACTTTGAGTTGCGAACTCTGAGAGCAGCACCCTGGGGTCCCTCTGGGGGCAGTGAAGGCTCTGTCTGCCTTCTCTGCACTCTGGTTCAGGCTTCCAGATGATCATGTCTCCCCACATGCAGGGGACTGGAATGACCAGCAGTGCGGCCAGCCGCAGCAACTGCTTCCACTCTGATTTCAAAGTCAAAGTCATTTAGGGTGTTGCTTGGTCGAAAGTGCAGGGGCCTTTTGTTGCCAGGCTAGGTGTGAGAAGGGTCAGGCAATAGGGGGCAGTTTCTTTTCTCTCCATGCCAAGGAGAAAGTTAGTGGAGAGTTTCCTGGGTGCATCAGTTCACATCTTGTGGCCGAAAGGAGACCACTGGGCTTCCTGATGTGAACAGAGAAGTAGCACCAGAGAAGAAATTATGATGTTTCTAAGATAAATTTATGATAAAAAGATGTGAGCCTTCTTCGTGAATTCACACTGGCCCATATGCTTGATCTAGCTGCTGACTTTTTAAGGCCTTAATTGGCTGCATTTGATAAAACCATCCCCAGATGAAGCTTGCATAGATATTCATTGATTTTCTTAACTTTCAGGTCGAGCTGTCCTTGAAGTACCGGTGAGTCTTCTGGGAACAGGACAACTGCATTATCATTCTTTCCTTTTCCCAGCATCTGGAAGGCTCTGCTAATGGATATCAGTGGCTCCTTTGCACACGGACTGAGTAGCAGAAGCCCTTCTGGTGTGTATTCTCCCCGACTTGTGTTAAACAATAAACCCATTTCTATCCTTTGGAAATCTTGTGAAGTTTTCAGTGGCTGAACCCCATAATGATTAGTTTCATTTGGATCTAAAGTTAGAGAAAGGCTCACACAGAACCCCAAAGACATCAGCTCTTTAGGGAGCTCCTGGAACAGCAGCTTGTTTTAGGCAGTCTTGAGAGGTGGCATATGTGATATTGAGGGGATTGGAGGAAATCACACCTGGAGGAAATTGACTACATTGGGCATAATTCCATTTTTTGACCTACTTCTAGAGCTTATAGGAGGTATGCTAGTGAACATATGCTGAACTGATTAA